ATCACTTCAGGTTTGTAGCACGCTCTGAGAGCTATCCAAATCAGTATTCGGATGTCGATAATGAGTGATCTTTCACGCAGAAAAATGAAAAACAAAAGGTGCCTTAAAATTTTGTCCGCCACTTTATAACCTAACCTATCCTGTGATCTTTTGTTTTCAACCCACAGAACGTTACACGCATATTTGACAAAAGTAAACATACATGTCATTCACTTTTTAACCTTTCAAAGAATTAGAACGTGGATGACTCAAAATCAGAAAGAAAAATCTAGAACGCTTGCGCAAAAGTAGAAAGAAATCGAAAAAAACTAAAACACAATCTACAACTTAACCTAATCAAATCAAATTACGTTAGGTTTAAGCTGCCGGGCTCTGGTCACCAGGCGATCTTTCTTTTAGGAGACAGTATGGATAAATGTGATAGAATAAAGTATGACTTTTAATTGTGTGATACAATGATTGTAAGATTTCTGCAATAAAGTTCGTCCTTTTTGTTCCACTTTATTTTAAAAACCTTCTCAAGCCGAAGGTTGAAATCGAAAATGCTTAAAAAACTTTACATCCTAGGATAGAGTCTGAAGTAAAATTTTCAGCTCGATTGGACCATCTTTTCGAGGGGCCGTAATGTGAGCCGATTGAAGGGACTATCGAAAAAACACATATTGTACACAGGGCTCTGTTTTTCAGGATATTTCCAGTGATGCTTATATCTCCACAAAAATTCATCGAAAAATTCTGGAAGACATCTTATTTTGGGAGAGCACACTTTCTTCGATCCTGCTATATATAAGAAAAAATTTTGAATATATAGGAAAACAGAGAACAATTTACGAACCTAAAAAATTCAGATTTTCTTGGCTTTCGATGAAAAACTTAAAAACTTCATAATTTTTTCAAGGAAGGCCATGGAGAGCAGGGAGTGGTCTCATTTTATAGCCCAGACTTTCTTCTACGTTAGAAAAAAAATAGCTGAGTCTATTCTTATTTTGGACAGACAGTACTAAAATTATTTAAATTATTAAATTTGTATAACTGTCTATCCAGAAAAAGAATGGGCTCTGCTGTGTTTTGAATAACTTTTGACAGAAAGCACGTAGCGAGCTCGGATTTTGGACATTCGAAAGAGGAGACTTTGAAGTATGATTTCATACGCAAACATTCTTTTGTTTTTAGAAAAAGCTTTGAAAACTGGAAAAAATTGAGAAACCATGTTTTGATTCAAGGGTTCTCTAGAAACTTTTGCGAAAAGCCATAGGCTTTTGTAAATTCTTATTTGTAGATCTCTTATAAATCAAATATAAAAGAGTCTAACGATTAATATTCTGTCTATTCATAAACACCTTTCTTAACATGCTTTTACCTATTGATCATGAAACATGACTTTATACAAATGAAAATCATGTTTAGAACAATTTTCATGAATATACTAGTTCTAATGACACTCATTATTGCGCATTTTCAGCCTGTTTCAATCTACTAGAGTGCATCTTATAGAAAATTTTATTGACTACAAGATGTGCTAAAGATTGCTCTAGGCCGATGAAATTTGTTGTCATAATAATTGCTTTACGGAAGAAAATAGCTACTTTTTTTTCTAATGGTACTTTATTTAATCTTTTTCGGGAATGAAAAAATTTATTTAAGGCCTGAACAATATCAGGTTTTGTTAAGCTTTTGTACTTGTTGAAATGATATGTAATCTAAGAAAAACAAATGTACGATAATGTTGCTACAATTAAAAGAACAAGAAATACAGAGTTCTTTAATTTCTGAACAAAACTTGTTGGAATTTTTTCAAAAAAACTTTTTTTCTCAAGGAGGAAAAGTATTCAACGGGTAAAAACGTGGATTTATAGCTCACTGAATGGAGAATCTGAAAATCGTATTTAAAAAAACATTTATTTTTCGAAGGTTTTATTTATTTTTTCGACGCGCTCACAAATTGTCTCTTAACCCATAAAGTAAAGCCATATCGAGAAACTTTCAAAATTTGTTGATCATAGTCAAGGAATCTAGCAAATCAGAATGATGAGTCTTACTTGAGCTAGAAGCATGCAACAAAAATACCTATTTGTTTACTTATTGTCGTTTGTTTGAAACCAACAATATTTTCAGCTGTATGAGTAACATTTATTTGTGTGATCTGCCATTGATTTTGATTAACCTGTATTCGACTGTTTGTAATTTCATAATCTGAATTAGATACTGGATGTTGACTAATATCCAAATCGTAACTGTCTAATCGTCGTACAATTTCATAACCATTTGGCGATATATGATCAACTAATCTGATATAACCTCGACAAATACCATAAATATCTTTTTGTACAAAAATATCGAATCGAACAATTCGAATACCTCAAAAAACGAATTCTATGTTAGTCAGTTTTTAAACTATTGCACTTAAGTAATTCTTATCTTACTAATCAAAATCAAATTAAGATAACTGACACTCAATGATCCATAATATAAACCATTAAATGTCATATCAATGTCATCTAATATTAATAATCTATTTGTTGCATTTACTTTGGAAGTCGGCAATCCACTATTGTTGTAAACATCATGTTTGCTCAAATCTGTTATTGATCTATTTGTCAATATGGTATTGTTATAAATCCACGAAAAACTTGTTCTTTCACTTTTAATTCTCACTATAGCACCTTCCCATACTGGATAGGTTTTACTAGGATTTGATGAAACATTATAATCTACGATATATGTATATGACAAGTATAATGGAAATATGGTGCTGTAGACGAGTGCTGCTAATAAGAACATCTAAAATATTCATAAGAGGAGATTAAGAAATGAAACTAGATAGAAAACTGGTGTATAGAATTCGCTGATTATGTAGAAGACAGTCTATACATTAAGTTTTTAGTTCTTTTCAATACAACAAAATTTCAAAATAAGTGAAAACTCAAAAAAGAAACAGTATGATTTATCGTGTGTTATTACTCGTTCCATAAAAGTTTAAACTTCTATACCAATGTTAAATTCAAACGGTATTGACTTTCGCATTCGCTAAAGAAAAAAGAGAATTCCATTTTATTTTATTTTTACTCATTTTTTAGTCTTATTCAGCAACTGGTGGAAAGAACTGGTTGGGTGTTTTGATTCCTAAGAACAGGAACTACTGAACGAAAATAATGTAGCTTACAAAACATACACATACTTCTTTCAACTCAAATTAACTACTCGCTTTGACGGAGTCTTTCATGCATTCAAGAATGTATCTCCGAAAAGAACCATGAATAAAGCTTTTAAGCGAATAGTATGCTCTAATCATATTTACTTTTGATGAATCAATCTGCAAATATAGGTGCATGTTGCATAGGGGTGAAACAGTTGCAGTTACTGAAGTGCCTGAGAACTGATTGAAAGAACCGGTTAGCCGTTTCGTTCCTAAGAGCGGGAACTACAGAACGTTCTTTCCGAAAGAACGCGATCTGATCACCAGTTCATTTCAAGAAATCAATATAAAATCAATTCGTTGAAGCTTTGTTTGGCCCATAATTGACTTTGTTTAGTCCACTAAACGCACCCTTAGCCGACCAAACAAAGTCGATGTAACTAACTCAACGAAATGGTTTTACATTGATTTCTTGAAATGAACTGGTGATCAGATCGCGTTCTTTCGAAAAGAACGTTCTGTAGTTCCCGCTCTTAGGAACGAAACGGCTAACCGGTTCTTTCAATCAGTAAACTGTAACTGTTTCACCCCTATGCAACATGCACCTATATTTGCAGATTGATTCATCAAAAGTAAATATGATTAGAGCATACTGTTCGCTTAAAAGTTCTTTTCATGGTTCTTTTCGGAGATACATTCTTGAATGCATGAAAGACTCCGTCAAAGTGAGTAGTTAATTTGAGTTGAAAGAAGTATGTGTATGTTTTGTAAGCTGCATTATTTTCAAATCTATCAGTCAACTTACGTCGGAAATAGTGGCATAAAATAAGCGTAAAAACTCCTAAAACAAGTCCACCGCCTGTTCCAATCAAAACCAGTATCTCATCGGTAAACGATCTAAAATATTGTAGAAAAAGTCTATAGATTCTTCACTGACATAGTATGTGAGTAGATTATACATTTCGTGGTGTTTTCCTTTCTTGTAGTTGTTGTTTTCGAAGTTGAAGTAAATGTTATTGTTGTCAGTGATGGTGATGTTAGTGCTACTTTTGCTTAATATTATATGCAAAAGACGAAATAAAACAGAGATCGTAGCTTTTTTTTCTTTACCTTACATGGTGAACAACCAATATGATTACAAATAATTTGATGCTTAGCATAAGTAACATCGTATTCAATAATCAGTTGTAAATTATCAAAATATTTTTCTGTGATTAATTGAAATCGTCCATTAGCGTATTCAACAACATTTACATATAAAACTTGTTTTGTTGAATTATTATCGAACAACTTGTACACAGTTTTGCGTTGATTCCTGTAGGCCATCTGAGGAAAGAATATCCTGCCTATTTTGCTCTATATTGTCCTTATGACTCACGCTCCCAGTCTGGTTCTGTCTGAGCATTTTTAGTAGGATATGATGTGTTATATGAATGATCTGTTTCCTTGTACAAGTAACATTTAGATTACCGTTGATATAGCAAGCTTGATTAGTTGGATCAATAAAAACTGTAACTGATGTTGCTTGGTAAAATTCTGATGGAAAAATAAAACGATTATGAAACCTTTTTAAATTCTAAATAAACACTTTTTCTTCGTATTAACTTTATTTATTTCAAACGTTTCGATTGATAGTTCAATCTTCCTCAGTGAATACAAACATTAATTAAAGTAATTAAGATGACACAAGCAAAACAAATTGAACAGAAAAACTTTTTAACATTGGGGGTTTCCCCTTTTATTGTTATAATATATATAGCCGATAATAAGAACTATAGTCTGACAAGTATCTTTATCATAATACATTTATATCCTATCTTAAGATATAATAAAAACTTTTATTTATTTTATTGTATATGTATTTTAGGTTTTAACATTACTATCTGTATCAAAATATAATGGACTCCGATATTTCGCTTATAACTTTTTAACGGTGAATGCTACAGACTTGCGGTTTTCAGTTTCTGAAACTAGACACTGGGGCACGTAGATCTGTGGAAAAACCATGGCGTTCGATCAGGTTTACCATGGTGTACCATTCGAGGCAAAATCCGAAAGCTTACCGTTCAAAAGTTATAAGCGAAATATCGGA